ATCTAATCTCTTTGGGTCTACAGAAGAAAGCTCTCACAACTGGTTTCACATCTATTTTCTTCCCATATTAGAGAAGGAGAACTAAGACCTGGAAAACTAAGACCATGGCACAGCTGCAGCACCTCCCAGCAAAGACGTACTCAGTCATGTCAACAGAAGGAAAAGGGATGATGAATGATGCTGCCCAAACCTAGACTGGGAGGATGAAGGGTGACGTTCAAGTGGTGGTCCTGCTCTGCACATGGATTTATACTCAATGTAGTTAATCACTCTCTAATTGTTAGATGTTTAGGTTATTTTCGACTTAGAAGTAACCATGTATTGAACATCTTCATGTTTGTAAACTTCCCTCTTTTGAGCTACATTCCTACTTAGGATACAGATGGTACAGTGTTAGGAACACAGGCTTTGGAGACAGTGTTTAGAACAGTGGTTAAACACCAAGCAGTGTTTAGTGTGTACTTGCAGCGCCATCAAACTTTTACATGTACAGAGCAGGGCCACCTCTTGAGGGCTCTTACTGACCTATATGGGAAGCAGTCCATTTTTTTCCACATCTACCCCTAGGATATTGATAGGTAGCTGATAGAAATGAGGAAAAGAGCTGAAGAGTATATTAACATGGTCTGAATCTTCAGATAATCTTTGAATAAACCACCAACCTCCATGGCCCACTAGTCCCCAGAGACCACATAAACTTTGTTTCCCTTTCCCTCTCTTCCTAATTGGCTTCAGTTACAATGTTGATTCAGTCAGAGAGGTGCTTGGAGAGAAAAATAACCACCACCACCACTTCAGCCAAGGGACAGTGAGAGAAAAGAGAGCATGCAGTAAAGCTGGAATGATGGTCTCTAATTAAAGGGCTCATGCGCAGCACTCACTTCCAAGGGCACGGGTCAACCAAACCAGATAATAGCTACATAAAGCCAAAGAAAGCCCAGAATAGGAATAAAACCAAAAATAGCACGGGAAACTAAGGAGGAAGAAGTGTTTGTACTTTTGCTCTTGGTCAGGCTGCACACGCAGCTGTTTCAGTTGCTAAGATGGAACAGGGTGGAAGGGATTTGAAAGCTGGCTCTGAAGCAGCCACAACTGGTCAGAGTTTGATGAGCAAATGAGGAAAGTCCCCAAAGGGCATGTTCCACCTGCTCAGTGTATTCACGTTGGCTAAAATCTATAAAGAGCCAGGCAAAAGACTCATTTCTGTATCCTCGTATCCCATGAGTGGTTGCAGGATATTCCCTTCTGGTGTGAGGGGCAGATCTCAACTCTGCTTGGGAAAGGAAAATCTTAGACTTGCCGTGCTGAAAGGTATTTCCAAGCTGTATTATAATGGAAGGAACAGAAGGGTGGGGAACATGGATTTAAGTGTGGCTCTGCCACATTCTAGCTGTATGACAGACCTTGTTATTAAATGTCTTTGAGTTTCAGTCTTAACTTCTGAGAAAACAGAAACAAAGTCTACCTGGATGGGAAACGCCACTTTTGTTAAAACAAAACATAGAATCCTAGGGGCCTCTGCGGAGAAAAACAGTAAAAGCAGAATCTGAAGGCTGGAAGGACTGGCCACACTAGGCAGCCTGAATAGCCTTGACTAGCAGGGGGTATTCAAGATACCACGACTTGCCCTGACCCCTAGGACCAACACTGCAAAAGAAGGTTCTGACCTGGAAGGTATAGAGGAACGTGTTGGAAATCCTACTTACTAGCAAGAGAGCCAGCAGGAAACAATTGATACAAAGAGTATATAGCATCCCCATAAGCTACCTAGTCTGGCTAGTTACAAGTGGGAAAGTTCCTTGTAATGATGATTTATGATGCTACCTTTATGGATAGTAAAGTAGCAAAAATGAAATTTTAGACAATGACTTTCTTTAAAAGGATCTGCCAAAAGAAAAAAAAATTCAAACAAAGAGTCAAATCAGGACAAGTGGGTTACTAAAAAGGTTAAACCAAAAACTTTTAGAGGAACAACCCACAAGAAGAATGAATAACAGCCTGGCTTTGAAGCGATCTCATGTGTGGAAAACAGATGCTGAGAAAGGAAGTTCATGAGCTCAATCCCATCTGTGTTAGCCAGGATTCTCCAGAGAAATAGAACCCATAGGATATGTATAAGGAAGGAGGTCTTTGTACAGTAGAAGAACTGGCTTACGTGATTATAGAGGCTGAGAAGTCTCCGTATCTGCCATATGCAAGTTTGGAGGCCCAGCAAAGCCAGTAGGTGTAGTCCTAGTCCCAGTCCAAAGGCCCAAGAACCAGGAGCTCCAATGTCCATGGGCAGGAGAAGATGGAGGTTCCAGTTCAAGATGAGAGTTAATTTGCCCTTCCTCTATCTTTTTGTTCTATTCTGGCTCTCAGTGGATTGGATGAAGCCACTTGCATTGGTAAGGGTGAGCTTCTTTACTAGGTTTACCAATTCGAATGCTAATCTCTCTTGGGAACACCTTCACTGGCACATCCAGAAATGTTTTTACCAGCTATCTGGGCATCTTTTAACCCAGTTAAATTGACACATAAAATTAATCATCATTCCATCTGAGACCACCCGTTACTATCTGACAGTATACTCAGTCCAGCCTAGTGGTATATTCACCAGAAATGTGACAGGCAGCCTCGAGCCCTCAAGTACCCTGTTAAAAAGGCTGGCACTAAGGTCCTTGTGAGATGGTAAGTTTGATAGCTTCACTCTGTGTGGCTCTAGATTCTACAGATTCTGAGCATTTGAAACAATGACTGTTCATTTGAACCCTCCTCTCCTGACTTTAGAACACCATCTCTAGACAGATGTTTTTACATAAGTCAACTCAAAACATTAAAAATAAAATTACTGTCTTCCCTCCCCACCTGAGTTCTCTATCTTGATTGGTTAGGCCACAAACCGCAAGGTCATCTGTGATTCGTCCCCAATTCCTCATGACCAAACCAATCACGCTGAAGTCACTGACATTTCTATCGAAGCATCCATTTTTCCCACCATCATACCTCCCTCAGAGTCCTGTTTCCCCTAATGCATGCTATTCAGACATGAGAATTCTCTTTCCGAGCAAAAACACCATCTCCCTGCTCAAAAATTCTCCAACAGCTTCCCTTTTCCCACAGAATCAAGACCAAACTCCTCGGTATAACATACAAGACTCCAAAGTGGCCCAACTTGTATTCTTTATCCTTTCTGTTCTATTCAGTGCAAAGCTCTAGCCACAGCAGGATACCTGCTCTTTCAGGAGCATATGAAATTCTGCTCATTTGCTCTTAATGCTCCTTCAGCCTCAAATATCCTTTTTTAATTAAGTATCTACCATGTGCCAGACAGTTTTAAGTGTTGAGATTATAAACAAGACAGACAAGGTCCCTGTTCTCATGGACCCTATGTCTCCTACTCATCTCTAAGGTCCAGCCCACATCTACACCTTCCCTGAAATTCTCTCCAATTCCATACATGAGAATTAACTTATTTATACTCCTAGAGTATTTAGCACTCTTTGTCTTATGCAACATTTATGCATAAATGTATCTTCCAGGCTAGACTATAAACTTCTTGAGGGTGGAAACCCAGCGGTCATTTATCTTTGTATTATGTAAGGGTTTGCATAGTGCCTCAGACATGGAAGACTTAATGTTCCTGGAATTACATCAGGTCTATCCCAATCTGCTTCCATTTATGATTAAAAAAACAGGAACACAAAAAGTGTGTGTAACTGCTTATTTTAAAGAAATGTAAAAACATTTTTTAAGGGAGGTATAAATAAAAAATTGTAATGGAAAGACTTTAAAAAAAAACCCACATTATAAACTGAAAAGTAGGCTTGTAGTCCATTTGAATACCTCACGTTAACGACTCTACCACTCCTTAAGAAATAGTGACCTAGAGGCTATGAGCTTCTAGAGAGCAGACTTTTAATTCACATAGTCACTAGTCAGCAAATGGCTTCCCACTCTGGACCAGTCTCATTTCTGTAACATTAGCAAGCTGCCCATTAGTCAGTCTCTAAGGGGACCACGGAGACTGACAATGAACAGTCAGGCCATTCATCAGTGCTAAAGGCAAAAGAGCACCCCTAGAAAAACCACCTGGAAGCAGCCTCTACTGGCCTCATCCACTGACAGAGGCTTGATTTAGGAGAGGTATCAATACTATTTATCCTTTAAATAATCTGAGCTGAAAACTGACAAATTTAAAATCTGACATTCATGAAAAAAAAGGGAGTGTCCTTCAGACTGAAGAGATTTATGCATCCTATGATCTTGAACTGGATCCCAGTTTGGACAAATCAAATGTAAATAACATTTTTGGAACAATTGGGAATTTTGAATATGGACTGGGTATGAGATGATATTAAGGGATTATTCATTTTTTGTTGGGTGTAGTATGTACAAAAAATGTTCTTTTTTGAGATATAAATTAAAGTTTAGCTTGGTTGGAATATTATGTCTATCATGTTCTTTAAAATACTTCAGTATAAAAGAAGTGAGTTATAAAACCAACCAACCACAGTTAGTAAAAGAAAATAAGACATTTTGGAGAAGAGCTCCTTTCGTCCTTCATGGTCACTTTCTCAGTGGGAAGTCTATTTAGATGGGGCAGGTCAAGGTCAACTTCTCCACCACAAAGACCAATGCTCCCCACCAGCAGTGAAAGTGCCTTGGGGAGCCCCACTCAGTGGAGACATGCATTAGAAGGCACATGGAGAGGGGCCTCTTCTGCAGGGCCTTCTTCCCCTTGTTATAATCTCTTATTCCATTATTAGTGAAGTGAAGAGAAAATTATCAGCTTACCACTCACTGTAACGAATCAGGAGACCTCCTGGTGATATAATCAACATCATCTTGCCTCTGGTTCAGGAGTACCTCTTTGATTAGAATCACAGATAAATTCTAGGCTTTGCAGCCAACCTGAAAACTAAAATTTTGACTTTGTTTACTGCTCCACTACAGTTTTCTCAGTCTCTATTTCCTTTGTATCAGCCCATTAGACAAGGCGGAAAACAGTTCTCCACCTGTAAGAATCTTAACAAATATTTTATTAACACATACTGACATATTCCTGGGATATAAGAGTCCTCAAAACACTGCCCCCACTAAAAACACTACAACTGCTCAAGTCCTGGGTCCTCCGTTGAGGTTCACAAGGAGTCCTGGGCCCTCTATGGAGTTCTGTACCGCGCACTCCTTTAACAGAGCCAGGCTTGCTGTACCTCTCCCCACCCGTGTGCCCGTGTGCAAACAGGCTCCCCTCAGTCAGATGCAGGTGGTGACACTCGTGCCTCTGCAAGGGCAGGGGTTCCATATGATTAAACCAGAATGGAGACAACCTTAGCATCAGCTGCTCAAAAGGGAATCCAGGCTTTATTTTTCAAAGCCACTCATTCCTCTTCTCTGCAGGGGTTCAGTACCTTCAGGATGAGCATAAGGATTCCCATTGCCGGAATATTCGGAATATCTTCCTTGATTTCTCAGAGAGACTCTGTAAGTAGAAAAGCTCATTATTAGAGATTAAATATTTTATAGCGACAAAGGATGGGTGATAGCTTTAAAGTGTGGTCTGTAAATTTCTCCCACAATGATCTAGATATGTCTAGGAGTGAGTAAAACAAGTTAGTTTTATATTGTGCCATACATAATATACACCTAAAGTCAAGAAAATCAAGAAGCTTAAGTTTACTGTGAGAGATACTGTGAATGCACTCAGAGACTCTAAATACAGCTTATGTCCTCCCTCCAGGATTCTGTATATGCCCTCATCTTTGTATTCGAGGTTGTCACTTCTGACCCACCATTAGTGCGGCATGCAATTTTGCACTGATTTCTCATCTGTGATGTTGAATTGGCCCTATTCATTACTTCTTGTGAACAGGGATTCACATTTGCAGGATGCCAAGCTGGTGTTAACAGTATAATCCAAGGCCGACAAATGAAACACAGTTAAATGACCCTTAAGAGTTTAAACTATGACCTTGGCCTTCTCAGCTTCATGTTTTAGCCAGTAGAGCTAATAATAGGAAGAATCTCACTGCCACTTGACCATGCCTGTGAAGTGATCTAAGATTCTGAGAAATGGTGTTACAGGGAGACAAAACAATTCCCTACAAGATCAGCGTCCTCAGTGAAGCAGAACACTTGGTTCTCTCTGCGTGAAAGCCACAGTGATGAGCATAGGGCCTCAGTGAGAGCACAAACATATCTGGCAAGATAATCGAGAAAGTTCCCTCCACTTTCTAACGTAAGATGACATTTTCACTGCTTTCTTATCCTCTCCCTGGCTGAATGTCTCAATAAAATAGTTCCAGGAGGGAAAAGGTTGAACTCTTACTCATGACTGAGGGCAATTTAGTTAACACAGTTACAAAACTAAAAGAAATTTAAGTTGAAAGACAGCATAAACTTTTTTCTAGCTTCAAGATCCTTTACCACAGCACCTCATTAAGCTTTGTATTTCCCAGTCACAGCAGCTGTGGGCAATGTTAAAAGGCAAGTTGCCAAAAAGGATCTTCAAAGTCCTGGAACCCAGGGCCAGTTATGAGGCCAACTTTTCCCACTCCACCCCCACCCCCCAAAAAAAGACCCAAAAAACCACACACACAACTACAAAAACAAAAAAAACCCTGTGGGGTTTCTTGTTAGTATGAGAGTGACAGAGGGGAGTCAATTAAAACTGCCAGTACACTATTTCATGAGGATCTACAGAGAAAGCATGTGCAAAGAGATCTCTCCAATTTCAAAGGTGGATCAAACATTTGTCTTCAGAAAGCTTTATGTATTTTCAAGTTTTTAAACTGGAAAAATGCAGTTTTTTAGGGGGCAAAAAACTTGGAAAACCTTCATCTGCGTATTAACTATAGATATGAATGTACATTCTGGGTGTTTAGTGTCACTATAGCTCCCTCCAGTGGAATCCTGTGAGCCTCCAAAACCATGAATCTGGGAATGCTTCTGATAAACATCTGCTGGCAAGTATTATTTTACTTTCTCCTTGGAGGGCACAGAGGTTAAAAATGATTGTATTTACACTAGGCAGGTTACATGGCAAATTTGGGGAATAAGCCAGCAAAGGAAAGAGAATCCAGTTTTCAGGATTCCTTAATGCCCACCCTCCTCTCACTTCCATCCTTTCCATCGAGCAACACTTGAATTGTTTTCTCAGCTGGCCTGATGGGTTTGCATTTACCCACCAGTGTTACAAGCAGCAGTGACTGATGCAAATGGCTGGCTGAGGTTTAGTGCACCAGCCTGGGGCTGCGGTACATAGCAGAGTAATGTGCCCACTATGAGGAATGAAACTGTAATCGTGGTGGCAGAGCAGTGGCCCAGACAGCTAAGTTAACTGGCCAGGCTCCAAACCCAAGTGACAGCAACTCAGATGGAAAAAGCAGCTGTTTTGCAACATGAGGCCAGAGCAGCTGCCTATTCATCTCTGTTTCTGTACTTCTCTTCTCTGAGTTGTTTGAGTTGAGAAGACAAAGAATTTATCAGAATTTGGTGGAATGCCAAATGCTAAACTGCAGAAAGACTGAACCAGTCCCATGCCTGTTCTCCAGGATGAGACCAGACTGAGTCTACCTTGACTTATGAAAGCTAGGGGCAGGAAGGGTGCTAATTATAGGACAGGCTTCTGCTCCTCATCCCATAAACAGCAGGTGCTGCACAAGATCAGGGCTATGGCTTATCTCACCATAGAGTCGGTTTCAGCTGGCTGGTTAGACTGTTTGTGGGCCAAGAGGATGTTCAGCACTGCCTTCCAGCCCGGCTCTGCTGGGGCGCTGGCCTCTACCTCAGGTCCACCATTCTCCCTGGCTTCTTTGCCAAATGTGATATTCACCCAAGGGCACCAGTCTCTGTGCTGAGAAGTGGGGTCAAAGAAGCTTCGGGAAGATGTGTCCTAGGGAGGAGGAAGAGAAATCATTTAGGAAAGGGCAGATACTATGTAAGTTTGGGGAGGCCCTGCTGTTCATTGTCAAGTCCAGAGTCTCACAGTGCCCATGTTTCTAGTTTTATGTTCTCCTTTAAACTTTGCCTATGTATTTCCGTCTCATTTTTAAAATTCTCCCACTCCTTTCATGTTAAACCATACCTTATCGGGTCTGTCTCCCTTTTCACTGCTGTCCCCTGGGCCTGACAAATTTATTACATCTCCAGAATCCGTCTCAAAGAAACAAATAACAAAACCCCTTCATTTTTTACCCGCTCTGGTCACCTAACTGTGCCATCTTTAAACTTATTTATATGGCCTCCTCATAGCCATGGCACCCGGGACGGGCTCAGCTTGCTTCTCAGTGCTGCACGGGGAGGCTGTGCCATGCCACTGTGCTCAGGGACCTCCACATGCGCAGGCAGACTCACTGAGCTGCTAGAAGAGCAGAGGCGAGCCCGTTTGGCTCTCCGAAGAGGACTAGATGGCACTTCCAGGCCGGTGGGGTCTCCTGTTCCCATGCTTCGGGTCACTGGGCGGGTCCTGGTGGTGGGGCTAGCGGCCTCCGGCTCAGGACGGTCAACAGGACTGGAAGAGTCCCAGCTTCGAGTCCGGGAGATGATGGGACCTGGGCTCCTTTCAGCCTGAAGGAAGGGGGCAAAGGATGGAAACAGCTCCATTACATTAATGACTATGGTTAGGAGAAATATTTCTAGACACATGAGAAAGCTAAGGCTTTATAAATATAAGAATTTAGTTTCTGAACTGTCTATATAACTAAACTCTTCAAAGAATATTAGATTTCTATACCAAATAATGAATTTAGGGTCTCCATTGCAACCAGTGAATAAAACCACTCTGTAGTATTCTGATCAATGTGGTTAGAGGTGAAGCTTAACCCAAGTTAACCAACCTAAGTCAATTTCCGACTTTTCCATCGACAACCCTTTTGGCGATAATGCTCTTTTTAAAATGTCCACCCCGTACAAGCCAAGTCAGTCTATACCTGCTCTGAGCCTGGGGAAAATGTAGCATCCTGGCTGCGGGTCATCATCCTCCGAGGAGACTCAGGCACCAGCGAGAAGCGCTCTGGTCGGCCCTCAGAGCCTGGGAGCGGGGAGCTGGTCAGGCCAAAGGAGGCCTCCAGGTCGGTCATGGATGACTCAATCTGCTGGAAGCCCCAGAGCCCCACCTTCCTCATACACTGTGAACAGGTTATCAGGGAGAGCTGCATAGGTTCCAAGGAAGAACTAGGTAGGAACAGAAAAGACAGTTTTCTCAGAAGGTAACATTTCCAAGGGACTAAGCATAGTGATTTGTGAGTATGCTTCATTTCATCAGAGAAATCTCTGGAACAGTCCAGTGGACTTGGAACCACGTGCTCTCAGGGCTTGTCTTCTGATCTCAGGACCCAATTTCACTGTTCACATATTTCCTATAGAAAGATCCAGGGGGCCTTAGTGTGCTCTCTACAGCAAGACTATTTTAAAGGTATATTTAATAAATTTCTCTGTCCCTTTAAAAGATTTTTCCCAGTAAATGAAAAATGTTTCTTAATCTATAAAAAAAAGCATATTTAAAGGAAATCAAAATTGGTCTGATAGTCTTCTGTCTCAGAGGGAGTCTGTGCCAAACTGAGCAGCTGGAGTAGAAACACCAACATGGGGCCTAGAGAACTCCAGTTGGTGCTTCCTTTGGTAGTTTTTATCAATTAAACAGATTTTTCTTCCTCAAAACAGAAAAGTTTCACTATTTATAGGAACATAAATTCCCAGCTGAGAAGTGATAGTAAATGAAACAAAGTTCTGGTTTTGCTGCTAATTCTTATTGTCCTCCCCTCACTCCCTCAGTTTTTCTTTGTCTCTGTTTTTCCCACAGGAAACACCATGTGATCTCCAAATGCTATGAGTGACTGATGTATATGGGTATATAATACTGTCACAGTTCATGTCCCCAGGCAAGTTGGCTGACCTATACGCCCAGCCACACACAGAGAGAATGCAGGCAGTGACGTGGACTTGGATGTCTGAGCCTAATTTGGTTGCAATTTTTCTCTCATCAGTTCGGTGATCAAGTTCATCTTCAAGCAGGTGTAGGAGAAGACTGATTCTGTCTTCTGTCAAGCACTACGAAGGAATCAAGATAAAAGACTTAAAGTTTTTACCACCATGAAAAGAATTAATAAATAATGATGTATCTAGATGGTACAAGGTAAAAATCATGAAAAAAATGACAAACATGAAGACAATTCCCTTCATTGGCGAGGACTTAATTCTAGCATAGGCTACCGTATCACACCGAAGCTTTCTGAACTGCCCTGGACCTGCTGATTGAAAAAGGTGGCAGTTTTCCTGGAACTAACACATCTTTCCTTATTACTGACTTGTTATCAATTTACCAATTGCATATTTTCTCTGAAACCTGTAAACTTCAAACCCAAATAATGACAAAAGACTACTCTTTGTATCCTGACCTGACACTGAATTTACACAACAAAAGAGCTTGCCACAGTCTTTACTTTTGTTCTAAGAATAATAAAGAACTATGACAGGGTGAAAAAAAATTGCCTTGGCAAGGAACAAGGGGGCATTTATAATAGGCATCAGAGGTTAATTGTTTGGTGCTAAAATCCGTAATAGCCTCTCCACTTGAAGAAGCAAAATAATAGCTTCTATTTCCTACAGTAAAGTTTGTCTTGACAGAGTGAGTACCCACAGGCTGATGAAATCAGACAGTAAATGTTCAGTTTCAAAGTACAGATGGGCCAGAGCATTTCAAAATTTGTATTTACAAAGGAGAAAGCAGTTAACAACTTCTCTAGCATTTTCTTTGGAAAATGGTATGCAATAAACCATATGAAGTCATATATCAGTATCTTCTGTTAAATAGTTTAAGTAATAAGTCAAGATAAAACTGAATTTATGCCACTTAAAATATCATATTTAAAAGTTTAAATGGAACCCATTCACTTAAACCCTCAAGCCATCTTTCTGGTGGAGGAGACTGGAAAAAGGTCAGTTCACGGACAAATAAGTACATCTCATCATAGATAACTGCATCCTCTTGTCATTATAAGAAATGCTTCATGCTGGTGACAACTGAAGGCCACTACATGCTAGCCAAGAAAAACTCACCATAGTTTTTAAGTCCTCTGGCCTCAGGGAAGGAAGTTGGAGGTCCAAGTGACAAAGGCTTTGAAAACGATCTAGAAACTCACTAACAAGAACAGCAGGCTCGTCCAATGGCAACATCCCAAATCGATCTGTGGAAGAGGTAAACTGGAAGCTTATATGGGTGCAATCGTAAAAAAATTTTTTTAAAAAGCATTTATAGAACAATAGGGAAGATGTAAAATTGACAAGATATTTGGTAATATTAAGAAATTACTGATTTTGGGAGGTAGGGCTGTGGTGATTTTTTTGGTTATATTTAAAAAGCAGAGTCTCAGGAAAGGTCTTTTAGAAGCAGTCAGGTCTAAGCTGAATTTGAAAAACCAAAAACAGTGTGTAAAAGTAAATCCCTAGAGGGTATTACATTTGGGGAAATCTAAAGAATTTCACAGGGCTGGAGCAAAGTATGCCTACAGGGAGCCTAGTCGGAGATAAGGTTAAAATATAGACAGTAGCCAGACCATGACTTTATTAATGTATGTGATGAGAAAATACTGAAAGATTTTTTTAAAGGGGGAAGTGATATTATAGATAATATGCATTAGTTTAGAGACTAAGGGGTCAGTCTGGATGTAAAGAAATAAGTTTAGCAGACATAAAAGTCAGCTAAAATAATACTCCCTGTAAGATATTAGTGAAATAAGGCTGGAGAGAAGGAGCATCAATGTTGAAAGAAGAAAAATGAACAGAGACTTATGGGATACCATCAAGCACACTGATATCTACATAACAGGAGATTCAGAAGAAACAGAGGGAAAGGGGCAGGAAGAAATACCAACGGAAACTTCCCAAATTTGATGAAAAATATTAATCTACACTCTAAAAGCTCAAAATCTGTGTAAACAGAGAAGGGAAGAGCAAATATACTAAACAGAATTAGAATAAGTAGGAACTGTACCAAGGATAGGAAGGCTTAATTAAATTAGCATCTGTGATGACAGTAACAGTAAAAAGGGTTCCAGTGATAGTCATACACAACAATCATGCAGAAAGAGGGCCTGACAGTAGGTTCTAAAAATGAATAAGCCGACTTTCCTAAAGGGAGAGTTAACTAGGTACACATTATCCCTCATCTGCCAGGAGATTAAAATTTTAGATGGCGCTACTAGTTATAAAGCTTCAAACATGCTACAGTGACAACACGGATTAATTTCAAAAAAGCTGACCCCCTCCTAACAAAAGGCAGGTTGTAGAATACATACAGAATGATAACATATACAGAAAACTTTAAAACAAGTAAATAGTGTTGTATATATTGCTTATAGATACATGTGAACGGTGTTGACATAGAAACCATGTAAGCAAATCATAAACATCAAATTCAGGATAGTAGTGACTGCAGGTTAGGGAAGCAGGGAATGACATTGGGAAGGATTACACAGCTGTATCTGTAATTCTGACTGATTAACGGAGAGAAAGCAGGGTGGGGTGGTTTTGAAGTAAGGATGGCAAAACGTTAGGACTAGGTGGGGCGGGTGGTAGATGCAGACATGCTTTCTATTATTACCTACAATTTTTTCTATACTTGAAACAAATCCAAAATTTTAGAAATTATTTAAAAGTTAAAAATAAAATATAGACACTTTCGATATTCAAGGGCAACAAAATATTCCTCAAGAGTTTATCAAATTATTTAAAATTGTTGCAAGTAACCAAATGAGTCAAAACACATCATTAATTTTAAAAAATGCATCATTTTACTAGAAAAGTCAGGTTATAAAAAACTAAAATCAATAAGAAAAATGTGTGCACTTTAAAATAATCAAGTGAGGTTTAACGATAAAAGAAAACATGTCCTGATTACCAGTGCCTCTGGTTTAACAAAACGCAGGAGAAGAAACCAGGCACCAACACCTTTCTAACCATCTTCTAGTTTGGGGTTTGGTTTGATTGTTACAGCTCTAAGAAAGTACCAGTAAAAACCTATGCAGGTAAAAGAGTGAACAGAGAAGAAATTAAAACCATCACAAAAATATTTTAATGTTAAGTTTATGTTTTACAATTAACGTACGTGTATATTTTTTCTACTTTGAAGTATTTGACCTAATCAAATTAGTCCTAAAATAATCAAAATAATCCATCCTCATAAATCAGTAATTACAATTTAAAATGTTTACAGGGATTTAACTTAGTTTTTAATTTTTGATAAATGTTAGGGAAAAAATTACCTTCACAATTTCATTAGATATGCTTAATAAATGCAAGATTAAAGTATAAATAGTCATGGGTGTTCCTTTCTCCACACGAAAGTCTCCTGAATGTTAGAAAACCAAATCAAGGGAAGATATAATTAGAGGTCATAGGTGAGATCTGTGTAGCAGGCAGAATGGATAGGGCTAGCTGGTGATGAACGCAAGAGCATCTAAGGTGACTTCCAGGTGCCGGGCTAGGACAACCGGAGGGGGAGGTCAGTACCATTTACCAAGATGGAGACAACATAAGAAATGAATAAAGTTTTAAGCATAAGATGAAGAAATCAGTTTTGTATATTCTGAGTTCTAGGTACTTGCAAGACATTAAGTGGAAATGTTTAGAAGGTAGTTGAAAATATGGGTCAAGCTCAAAAGAGCGGTCTGGATAGAAGTTAGGAGTCTGCAAGTAGGTGGTAGCTGAGGTATGAACAGAATCAAGGAAGTGCAGGATATAGTAACAAGAGCTGGGAACCACCAACAGAGGCCTAAGCAGACAGAGAATCTCTGTCCTGAGTGTACTGGACAGAGACAGATGCACATCCTCATAGGACTGAGTTGTGTTGCACTATACAGTGAAATAGCTAGGCCAACAGCAGGAAATCCTTGTTATACAGTCCCCTTCACTTTAAAAATTTTATTTAATTCCTTCTCTGCCGTCTCTTCATTTATCAGTAGATGGCACTCTACGACCACTTTCAATCTAGTTTTTCCTCTTGGTGGTTATTCATGGAATATTCCTGGGCATCAGTGACCCTGGAATTAGCCTGAGCTGCCTTGCTGAAATAAAGAACATACCCACATGGCACAGAGTTCTGGTCAAGCATGGAATATATGGATTAACTATGCTGCTTTGTAACCATAGATCCAAAGGGTTTTGCGCCTGTTCTTGGTTGAGCCCCCCAGAGGGCTCTGCTGTTGAGGCTGGTTACTCAGCAGGAACATGCCTATGAGACCAGCAAAACATAAACAAATCTCACTGGAGACTACATTTGAGGCTCTCTTGTTCTGAAGCGTTTTGTGGGCACACCAGTGGTTCGCGATTCAAGAGAGAATGCATACAGCCACAGCCCTTACACAGGAGCCTGCGCCTGGCCTCTCCAGACCCTTTGCCGTGGGGTAGTCTTTGGCTGTGATATCTTTACTTCAATGCTACTGACATATTATGCTGTTTTACTATAATAAACTGTAGACTTGTAATCACTCTCATTTGGGGTCCTCTTTAGCAACTGAACCCTGTTTAACTGCCACTATTAGTGCCACTCATGTACCAGGAAGCCTGGGGAGAATACGCAGCTGCTTGCTGTGGTGGGAAAAGCAGAGGGTTTGAAATCAGACAAAACCATAGTTATGGCTCCTCACTAGTTGGTTTTAAGATTTGAGTCTTAATTTCCTCACCTAAAAAAACTGGGTTGGTAATATCTACCTCCCAGGACCCCTGTGAAGATTAAACTGGATAATATGTGCATGGCTGAGCCTTTGGCATGTCAAACGCACTTAATAAAGTAATAACACAATAGGTGAGTGAATGTTAGTTCTTAAAAAGCACAAATAGAAATGAAGAAAAAGAAACTTCAAAGACTGGATTTTCACAAACAAAAAACCAAAAACCCAGACAATATTAGAAATGCAGTGACAAAGAAGAGATGGTAAACGGGAAATCTTGGAATGTATAAGTACCTGGAGAGGGACTGTCTGGCCAGAAACAGAACTTCTCATGGGCACTACACAAGGCTTTCTTCAGCTCAGCACATCGTTCCTTATCTGAAACCCACATAGGTAGCAATGCCTTAAAAACACTATATAGATTCAAAATACAGTGGCCAAGAGTCTCTAAGAGTACAGTACTAAAAATAAAAATAACTAAGAGAATTTTAAACGATACAAAAATATCAGCAACTGCATCAACTTAGTGTTTTTCACCAAACAAGTTCTAAATCAAGATTCGAAGATCAGTAACAGAGGAGATATCACGTATCATGTAAGGCAGGGTATTCCAAAGTGTGAGCCTTCATTAAAGTCCTGTGTCTCTCTGCCTCAGCATAGATTTCGGAATCATAAAGCAAAACACCCTGCTGTTATTTTCCCAGAACACATAAACAGGTTTACTGTAAAACTAGCTAAGCTTTTTTAAAAAAGTAATGACTGAAGCTAATAATTAGAGTGAAGGCAATCACAAATTCACTGCTTATTTATAGAAGTACACAATCTTTGACCAAACACAAGTGACTGGTCTTTTCAGAAGAACTAGTATAGAGATCTTTTGAATATGGAGAAAAATGTAATTCGTACTTTATACTTACATCGGTCAAAATCAAAAGCTGGCTGTAAGCTGGCACAGAGAAAAGCCTGACAGCTGGAGCACTTCAGCATATCACACTCAACTGTGACCCAGCCGTATTTTGCACAGACAAGAGGGGACAGCTCAGGGGGCTTACCCGCCCATTTTAAAGAGTATTCATGTTAAGAAAATCAACACCGCCAAGTACATTAAAATGAACAGGTCAGAAATCAAAACTTTAAGTTATTCTTCACGTATATAGGAATAAACACATTAACTTAAGAGGAAAAGCAATATGAAAAGTGTTAACTATTTTTAATCATAGGCACATGCTTCACAGAATGATGGTCATTTGAGTAACAAGTGGAGGGAAAACAGTTGTGAACTTTTTCACTAGGAAGTCCTATGTATTTCATATGTTTAAAATTTTTTAAAAAATTACTGGTTGTGGGGTAGGGTATAGAAGTGATTCACTTTTGCTTAATGTGAAATACTAGGGATTTTAAAACACTAGGGAAAGCACTGGGATATGTGTGAGCAACAAGGAATGGTGGAAGTCAAACAAGCAGAAATATTTTCTCTCTCATCTATGCTCTACCACTGTATCACATCTACTTTTACCTTCTGAAGAAGAAAGTCAGTAAAACTAATAATATCCATTATTCCTCCCACCTCAAAATTTGACTGCTATATACTAATGTGTGCATGTAGTATATACTCTTTTTTTTAGTATTTTATTTTATTTTAAACATTTTTAATTGAGTTATAGTCATTTTACAATGTGTCAAATTCCAGTGTAGAGCATGATTTTTCAGTTATACATGAACATACATATATTCATTGTCACATTTTTTTTTTTTGCTGTGAGCTACCACAAGATCTTGTATATATTTCCCTGTGCTATACGGTATAATCTTGTTTATCTAGTCTACATATGCCTGTCAGTATCTACAAATTTTGAACTCCCAGTCTATCCTTTTCCACCCCCTACCCCTTGGCAACCACAAGTTTGTATTCTATGTCTATGATTCTGTTTCTGTTTTGTATTTATGTTCTTCTTCTTTCTTTTTTTTAGAATCCACATATGTGTGATTTCATAGTATTTTTCTTTCTCTTTCTGGCTTACTTTACTTAGAATGACATTCTCCAGGAA